ATCGAAAACAAACGTATGTTCGCCAATTTATCTTCTGAAGTACTCACTTTTTCCTAAAGCTTATTTGCCCGATATGTGGGAAGGAAACATTTGGAAGGATGACTATTCACTAAGGAGAAGGGAACTGTCAGAAAGATCCTGGGACGAGAACTCCTTACCTTAACTGTCATCTCAGAAGAAAGACGAATGCAAGTCACCCAAAGTGGATAAACGAAATTTTTCAAGTCGATTTCAAAGAAACAATTGCTTTTGGAAGCGTTACAGAATAACCGGCTCCGATTAACTCTTATGGGCATACGAGCAACGTAACATTTGTAAAAGTGAATCTACTAAGCTGCGGAAAAAAAAATACTAGCTGAAACTAATACAAAACTCCCTAAAACATCGCACAATGCTATACGGCTACATACGTAGAGTAAAATTTCCTCAGGAGTTGCTCCCTGCCCTAAGATCTGCAGATGGACAACTGGAGACCGATGAGCAGCTGAAAGCATTACTCTTCTCCATCATCTTTAATCTATCTACAATCGAGAGCCAAATGCCCTTGTTGCTGGTCCATCCATCCATCAGCAGATATCTCCTTTTCTACCCTCCCCATCATCTCCCAAAATAGAGAAGCTAGAGTTTTCACAGGACATTGTCAGGGTCGAATTAATCCACTTTAAGCCTGCCAAATTATCTTGGCCAGATAAAATTCCTGTACTCACATTACAAGAACCAGCCAACGAACTGTTAGAACCTCTATCTGTCATTTTCCAAAGGTCTTTTGAAAAAGGCAAACTCCTGGCAAATGTAAATGGACATTCGTCACCCTGATCTATAAGGGAGGTTCACAACTTCATTGCGCAACTTACCGTCCTGTAAGCCTAACTTACATCGCGCGTAGAATAATGTAGCGCATTATCAAGCGGAATTTAATTAAATTCCTGGAAAGATACAAAATATTATGCGATGGACAGCTTTCAACCAGGATGCTCTTTACACGCATGAGAAGTGGACAAAGGCCACAGACAACAGCTATCCAACTGATGTCATATTTCTCGACTTAAAGAAGGCCTTCGATAGTGTACTTCAAGGCCTCTTTTACAGAAGATTTGGACATTCAAGGAAAAATTGTTAAAAAAATGATTTCCCTTCAAACGAAGTGCCGCTTTTGTCCTTCCTATTAGAGCCAATCTGATGACAGTCCGTGGTCTCCAATGTGACGCACGCATATTGTTGGTTTTATATTTCATCCCAATCAGATTATTCCGTAGGCTGACCGCTCAATTATCTATGTTAATCAGTGCTGACCGTAAGTCTCCTTCTCAGTTATAGAAAGTAGATCTTTGGGTTGTCTGTTCTTGCGATTAACTTGGAAACCACTAATCACTGCCCCTTTTGTACGTATAAGTAAGCCTTTTCAGAGCTTTTATACTTTATTCAAACACGCTTATATATATAAGGATTAAATATAGAAGTGATAGTGTGAGCGTTGAACTTTGAAGTCGAACTTACAGCAGGCCTTGTTTAAACACTTTCTTTGGCGCGCTGCCGTGAAAATGTCGCGTGAAGTGAGGTAGGTTGCATTGTCCCTTCGTCTTTATGATTCCTAAAGGACTAATGTCCGTTTAATGCGTCCGGGCATCGCTGTTCTAATTCTCAGCGGACGTTACGCTGGCAGAAAAGCGATTGTTATTAAGAGCTATGACGACGGCTCGAATGAGAAGCCCTACGGACACGCTCTTGTGGTTGGAATCGATCGCTACCCGCGCCGCATTCTGCGTAAGATGGGGAAGAAACGAATCGACAACCGATCAAAGATAAAGCCCTTCATTAAGCTTGTAAATTACAATCACCTTATGCCAACACGGCACTCGGTCAACATCCCCTTCAACACAACCGTCATCAACAAGAACTGTCTGGCGGATAAGCCGAAAAAGCGCGTTGCACTCCTGGATGCTAAACTGAAGCTGCAGCAAAGGTAATTA